ATGCGGGGCTGGCTCAGACGCGCGCGCGGCAGCGCATGCGGCCCAGCAGCAGGCCGGGCGAGACCGCGCTAACCTGGCCCCTCACAAGCCTCGCCTGTGCACCCCCCAGCGGTCACTCTTTGGCCGGGCCCCACGGAACCCCAAGCCCCAAAAGGCTCCGCCAGGGGGGGCCCCGCCAAGGCAGCTCCGCCTACAGAAAGCGGCCACCCACCAAAGTCCTGCTCCCGCAGCTGCACCTCCTCCTGCATCCCCGCGATCTGGTCCGGCGCGAACGCCGCGCGTATGCCCTCGTATGTCTGGCGGCTGCGGAGGTAGGGGCTGCAGTAGAAGTACAGGCGGTATGCAGTGCGGCCGCGGCCGGCGCCGGCGCCGGTGGCGGCCTCCATGTGGGCGCGGATGGCCGCGCCGGCGTCGTTGGCTTGCTGGTGGCCGTGAGGGGACTGCGGGGGAGGGGAACAGGCGCATGCGCGCGTGTGCGTGTGTGTGTGTGTGGGGGGGGGTGTATAATTTACGTGTGTGTATTGGGGGGATGGTGGGCTAGAGGGGCGGTGTGCTCTGCGAGGGGGGAAGTATGCAAGGTGATGGACGGGTGCAAACGGCTGCGGCCAGGGACGCAGACGGCCGCGTGAGCGTGCGGCCCTTGACGGTGCGCACGCCCTCGCAAAGCTGCCGAGTAAACCACGGACCGTGGCCCCGCCAACAGCCCCGCCGCCTTGCCACGGTCAACGACCGACATGCCCCCTCGCCGCTGCAGCCGCCGCGCCCTCGGCCGTGCCGCTCGGCGCTGCAGCACCATAACCCTGGGCGAAAATCGAAACCCTGATAAGGCGCCCACCAGCGCCACCATGGGGTCTGGCACGTATGTGTACTTGTTGGCATCGACGTTGCCCTCAGACTCTTGAGGGGGCGGGGCAGGGGGGGGATTGAGTGGAGGGGGCCATCCTGTTGAGGAAGGGGCATGTATGCTGCACAGACACGCAGGACGGGGAGGGGCATCTAGGAAGGCGAGCAGGCGGGCAGGCAGGCGAGCAGGCAGGCAGGCGGGCGGGCGGGCAGGTCGGCGGGCAGGCAGGCAGGTGCGCTTTTGCCCGGGCCTCACCAGCGTGCCGCACGAGGATTATGCGTTTTGGCAGCACTCGCAGGTCCGAGGGGATAGCCACGCTGCAGCAGCACGACGGATCGGGGCCGCGGACGAGGGGGGGGAGGTAAAGCATCTAGGCATGAAGTGGTCACGGCAGCTACGGGGGCGAGGAAGGGTGGCCGCGGTCCCACTGCGCTTCACCCGTGAAGGGGATCGCTGGCAGGTAGTGTAGGGCCGTCGCGCTTCACTGCAGTGGCCGGGCCCCCGCCGCGCCCGCGGCCGATCGGCTCTCCAGGACCGCCCCTGCGAACGACAGGCATGGACACTCGCCGCGGTGCCGCGTGCGCGGGCCCAGCGCTCGGCGCCTGCCAGGCGCATTGCACGACCGTGCCCAGGCCCACGCGCCTTGATGTGCTGTGATACCTCCAATCCGGTTGCCCCAGGATCCGCCTGTCAGCCAACGCCGCCAGCTGCACGTCAAACGGCCGCAGCGGCGGGCTGCCCACGGCGCCGCCGCGCGGCGAGGACGGCCCGGGGGACGCCGACGCCGGCGCAGGCGCGGCCGCGGCCGACTGCGCGGCGCGCAGCTCGCGGATCGCGGCAGCCTGCGCTCCGAGCGCGCGCTGCTGCGCCTCTACAACCGCCTTGAGGTCGGCCAGCTGCGCCCGCAGCTCGGAGACCTCATCGGCGCTGCCGCCGCCGCCGCTGCCGTTGCTCGCGCCGCCGCCGCGCGTGCTTGTGCTGCCAACTCCATTGGTTGAAGGTTCGTTTGCAGGAGCCTCGCCGTTGGGCGGGAGCAATGTGGGTTGCAAAGAATGTGGCTGCGGCTGGGGCTGCGGCTGGGGCTGCGGCTGGGGCTGCGGCTGGGGCTGCGGGGCACCGCCCGCTAAGGGTGGGTGCGCGATCGCGGCCTGCTGCATGTCCGCTGCACCTGCTCTGCAGCAGGTGCCGAGCCGCGCGCAACCAGCCCGCGGCGCGGTCGGGATGGCACAGCTTCTCGCAAGGCGCACACAGGTGGCCTTGGAGTGATGCTGCGATATATTACGAGGGTGGGCAGCGCGCATCGAGCCTGCAAACGTGCGCCGTGTTGAAGTGGGGGCAGCGTATGTGCTATAGATTGCTGTTTACAAATGTAGGTTTATAATGCGAAACATACCGCCGTTGAAAGCTGCGAGGAATCGATACTGTAGACTGGTGAGTCGGCACACCGTGGCTGCTTGTACTGAGCAGGATAATGATACATGCACTATCGCGAGCGTTAGATTACTGATTCTCCTGTCCTCGTGCCAACTCTAGCCCCTGGACAGGACCAGGACCTGAGGCACCATAGAGGGTTGAGGCAGCTGCTTCAAGCGCAGCTGCTGAGAGAGCTGCTGCTGCCCCTGCTCTCCCACACCCCTCATCCGAGTGCCACGAGACCAGCACCCGCGGCCAAGCAGCTGGCTTTACCCTCTTCGCCAACGCTCACACCCGCCTCGCAGATGGGCCGACCCCGCTGCTGGAGCCATGTGCACAATCACCCCACTTGGCACCCGAGCACCCGCCGCACGGTGGATGGGATGCCCATTTGCTGGGCAAGCTCGGAACTGTGTGTGCACTGCCAACCATGATGATGCTTTTGACTTCAGGCGCTTCTGAGACACCGTGCATCTTTGGTGGTTACACCGCAGCAAAACGGACACAAAAGGAACTGCAGCGCGCGCACTTCAGCGCGACAAGTGGGCAATGCGGGTTGCTTGAGGGCTTGGGAGGGGCCCCCTGCGCCCAAACGCCGCGCGTCGCTAGACGCCGGCAGGGCGGCCCGCCTTTGCTGGTGATGCATCTCGGACAATGCAGTTTGCCGGTGAATATGAATTGAATGGTTTTGAGACCAGAGGGCCCTGGGGGGTTGCGCAAAAGCTGGTGTGACCCTCAGAAGTGAGAAGTAGGTCACGAGGGAATCAGGAACATGGCAGTGTAACTTCTAACACGCACAGGGACGCAGCCCTGCAAACAGGCCCGCAGAGCGGGGCGGAGAGCGGCGTGCAAGCGGGCGAAGGGGGGCAATCAGCAACCCCCGTTCGCGGGCTGGATCCGCCGCTCCCAGTCCCACCCTACCCCGTGCGGCCCCGGCGCTCAGCCGAAACGGGAGGCGCTGTCGCCCTTGCGGCTGTACTCCCCGACTGCAGAGGGGATGGCCAGCTTGACGGCCGTCTTGACAATGGTGTTGGGGTCAAAGGTGTTGACCGCGGCGATGGCGGTGTTGGCGCTCTTGGTGAGGCCCGCAATCTGCGAGTTGGCGTTGAGGGTGAGGCCGGTGGCGAGGGCCCCGGGGATGGCAGAGGCCACCTTCTTGATACCGGCGACGCTGGTGAGGGCGGTGCGGTTGAAGGGCATCATAAGCTCGGTGAGGCCGATGACGTTGGGGGCCTTGGACGTCATGAAGGGGCCGTAGTTCAGCCTGGGGTTTGGGGTTGGGGTGTGGTGGGGCAGAGGTTTGAGGATGGGGTTTGGGAATGTTCTCTCAAAAGAGAGCGACGTGGGCACATTCCAGGTCGGGACGGAGGCGGTCAGGGGCGACTTTGTGCAATCATCAGGAGAGCAAAGAAGGGGGCGCCTGCTCGGCTGTCACGACCTGCCACTGCGCGCCGCACGCAGTGTTGGCGCCTCCCCGTCCTGCCTCCCAACAAACTGCACTGCGTTGGGAAGCCCCCATCGTCCAGACCCCCGCCCCTCACCTGGGCACGAAGCTGCCGATGGCGTCGCCGACGGCAAACATGCCCTGCAGGTGCGGGAAGCGGTGCCACACCTGCGGCAGGAAGAACCTGAACATGGAGAACTCCTCCACCACGTGGCGCGTGATGGCGTTGAGCGACCGAGTGAACTCGCTGCCGGGCACGTTGCCGCCGGGGGCGTAGTCGTCAAACGTCTTCTTGACCAGGTTCTCGTTGACGATGACGGCGGCCTCAGCAGGGGCGCCCTTGGAGGGGTCCTCGGGGTCGTAGCCGACGGGGGCGGCGCCCATGATGAGTTCATTGTCGATCTTGAGGCCTTGGGGGGTGTCCTTGAAGTTGACGGTGAGGGTCCAGGCCTGCAGGCCGGCTGTGTTGACGGTGATGACGATACGCTTCTTCAGGAAGTTGGAGACCAGGTCCTCAACTGGGAGGTTTTGCGGGGAGAGAGCAGCGCAGGGTTGAGGCCAGCGCGGGTTGGCGAGGGTTGATGGCGAGCCGAGGCTCGGCTGTGCTGGGGCTGCGGGCTGGGAGCGATGGTGCTGGCGACTGTGCTTTGCGATTCGGACCAACGGTTGCTGAAGCCCTCTCGACTGATTGGAGCCCCGCTTCACAAGCTGGGGGCCCAATGCTGGCCGCAGCGAACGACCCGCCACCCGAGGAATGCCAGCTGCCGCTGGCTGCGGATTAGCACGCCAGTCGCCGACCGGGCGCTGCTCACCGTGGAACCAGGTGTCGGTCTCAAACTCTGTCAGGTTCTCCTGGCCTGGCAGGTTGCGGTAGTGCTCGTGGATGAGGGTGTAGAGGCCCAGGGTGCCGATGTTGGCAGTGGACGGCGCAATCATGTTGGAGGCCTGGGGGCGGGCGCGGCAAGGGGGAGGGGAGCGGCGGTTGCACGTCCGTCAGAAGCTTGGCGGGCGAGAATGCCAGCGACGCGGCAGCGGGTTGCAAGGTAGGCTGGGGCGGCTGTTGCGCCAGCCCACACTTTGTGCGGACCCTCATCGCCCCTTTGCACTGCCGCCAGCATCCCGCAAACACCTGAGGGAGTCACCCATTCATGCAGCCCGCGCCCCCTGTGCCCCCCTCGACCCCCCTGTTCCCCCCCTTTCTGTGCTGCCCCGGCCAACCGCCCCTCAAAAGGCTCACCATGATGTGGTCCAGGGGGTGCCACAGGTGGTACCAGAACCACATCTTGCCCTCAAACTCGAGGTACTGGGGGTACATGGGGCTGAACAGCCAGAACACCATGTTGGCCGTGACGTTGGGCTGCGCGGGGATGTCGACGGTGCGGTGGATGCTGCCCACCTCGTCGACCCACTGGTGGACCTTGGCCTCGCGGCCGGCGCACCAGAGGGGGCCCCAGTTCAGGGGCGCGGGGATCTTGGTGTTGAGGCAGCCCACATCCTTGACCTGCACGCGTGGGAGGGTTGGTCACAAAGGGGGAGGGGTGTTGGCAAGTGTGGATGGATGGCTGTGCAGAGTGGAGGCGTGTGCGTGCAACGTCATCGAAGCTGCCTGCCGTTGCTGGCGCGGCCGCGCGCCCTCTCACAACTTAGTGGTGTGCCCAGGGGCAGGCGCGGGCTGGGATCAAGGCACACTGCGCTCGACGGATTTCAAGCTGTACTGCCTGGCATCCTCTCCCTTGCTGCAGCCCAACAACGGCGCTCGCGCCCGCGTCTCTGCGGCGCGTCCTCGCTCTCACCTCGACCTTCGGGGTCGCCTTGCCAGGCGCCTTGACGACAAACTCGCCGCGCACCAGCTTGCCTGGCAGGCTGCTGAAGCCCCGGATGGTGCCTTGGTTGATTAGGTTGTTGTTAAGCGTCTTGACGGTCACGTTGCGCTTGGGGATGGGGAAGGCCGGCTGTGTGTAGCCGCCCCACGCGGCTGCGCTCCCCACCAGCAGGGCAGCGACCACCGCAAACGCGGCGAGGCGCATCGTGGCGAGATAGCCTCGGGTTGCGCCCAGTGAGCGGTGTCTGAACAAGCAAGGACCTGAAGGAAGTGCAAAGGGGGCGTGCAACACGTGCAGGGTTGAGTTCACGCTTGCAGTGGCTCGCAGGCCCTGGGGGCTGATACAGTACGGCGGCAGCGCAGCACCCATGCAACGCATCAAGCAGGGCGTACACACGCATGAATACTGTTTTGTATACGAGTGCGAAGCATTGTAGGCGGGGCTCTTTGATGTGGGCGGCTCACCAGTCTCGCTCACAGTGCACGAAGGCCAGGGCCCTACGCTTGGCGTACGACTACGAGATTGCAACTACGATTTGCAATAAACATAAAGCCGTCTTAATCTGATTTAATAGGGGTAGAACACCGGCCAGGTTTCGACGGATGGTTTTCGGAACTCGAGCGGCGCGCCGGGTGACACGGCTAGCCCCAGCCGGGAGATCTAGAATTATCAAAAACATCTGTTTGATCTGATATCTGCGTGCTATGTAAAGTAGCCCCCACGACACGGCCACTTGCACCCATGGGTCGAGCAGACGCAGCTAGCGTGTTTTCACACCCCCGCTGACGCGGGGGCTTATGCATCAAACAGGGCAAGTGTGATCTGTCATGAAAAGGGTGGGCTTGGTTGACGCATGTGTACTACGCGCGCCCTGTGTCTGGGAGCTTCGCGTGCTGCTGCCGGCTGTACACCAGGTGCGTGCAACTTCCGCGCCTGCTTGCAAGGTCCACAGTTGGGCGGCTGTTTCCCACACGGGCTGGGGTCCACCAACCAAGCTGCGTCTGCATGCATATGTGTCACAAAAATTTCATCAACACGCAAAGAATGCCCATGCATTCAATGCTTTGAGCAGCTGGTCCACCCTTAACCCCGGGCTGCCAGCCAGGCGGGACCTCAGGCCTCAGGCTTGGGCAGTGGCACTGCGGCAGCACTTGAGATGAGCCATGCTTCAGCAGTCGCTTTGAGCCGCCCCTTGATGCTGTCAGCCCCGCCCGTTCTCCACATTTCTCTGGCATGTGGCGGCAGATGTAAGTAGGCGCGTGTCAGCCATGTGTCCCACCCACCTCCCGAGGCTTCAGCAGGGCTGTCAGTGCCCTGCGCACGGGCGCGCACCTTGGACAGGATCACATACGGGCTACGGCAGGTGTGCTCATGTGTATTAGTTTGAAGTGCGTTGTGCTAGGATTTGTATGTTGTGTGTGCGTGTGAGTGTTGTGTTGCATTGTGTTGCGCCATATTGTGCTGTGTGTGGGTGCGTGCGTGCGCATGTGTTTGTGTTTGTGTTTGTGTTTGTGTGTGCGTGTGTTTGTGTGTGTGCGTGTGCGTGTGCGTGTGTGTGCGTGTGCGTGTGCGTGTGCGTGTGCGTGTGCGTGTGCGTGTGCGTGTGCGTGTGCGTATGCGTATGCGTATGCGTGTGCGTGTGCGTATGCATGTGCGTGTGCGTGTGCGTGTGTGTGTGCGTGTGCCTGTGCGCGCGTGCGCGTGCGTGCGTGCGTGCGTGCGCTCTCGTTTGGAGGGGGAGGGGGCGGTGCACAAGCCAGGTCAAGCTGATCCCCCCTATCAAAGGGTTGTGCATGCGAGAACCGCGGTCTCGGTCCATCACTAAGGCCGGACAGTTGCAACCACCGCAGGCTGCAAGTACAAGGTGGCTGCATCAACCGATGTGGCAGCTGGGCAGCACTCGAGTGTTGGCTGGATGGACGCCGTTGACAGCGGCGCGCTTTGGTGTGTTGGAAGCAGGGCACAGTGGCACTCTGGTGTTGAGATGATATAGACGGCGTTAGCACACAACATATCAACCAGTAAGCTTTGCGGTGCGCCCACGCGCTGTCTGCGAGAGACATACAGTAGCCACTTCCCCTGCGAAAGCCATACCCCGCGATCCTATCACGCTCTGTCGTGGTTGTGACGTGGCTGAAGGGCTTTTTACTTTGTTCTGTATACCAAACACCTGAGGTCCTCCACAGCAAGACCATCTCGCTAGTCTCCAGTGCTCGAATAGAAGGACCAGGCGCAGCGGCCTCTGGATGGGGGCGAGATAGCATCCTAGTTGTTGTGACGCACGCCCTAGCGTGGGCGCGCAGGGCGAGAGCGACACCAAGAGCTTGCAAAGCAAGATGCAGGCTTGGCAGGCGACCGCTCCTACGGTCGAGTTGGCCGCGCTCAGGGAGCAGGTCACGTCGTCTATGTGAGTTTTTGCTTTCAGATTACTTCTTCCACCGCGCTCTGGGCTTGGGGACGCTCGGGGAAGCCTGCCCCGGACGCGTTTGTCTCTCGTACTGTACGCCTAACGGGGCGGCACGCGGGATGCAGAAACGCGTGTAGAGTGCGTGGTACGCGGTGTTCAGCCCCACAGACGCCAGAGGGGGGCGCGTGCGCCTGCGGCGGGGCGCAGCTGAGTGGCGCCCTGCGCTGCGGCGCGACGTGGGCGGGGTTTGCGCCACTATGCGATCAGCGGCAACTCTCAACTATGCAGGGCTTGCCAGCATACTGCATCAGTAGGGAAGGGTGTTGCCAGGGGCAACAAGGTGCGGGCTGCGAGCCTGGCTCGCCCAGTACGTGCTGGGCGTGCTTTCAATTCGAACCGTGCGTGCGCCTCGCCCTCCCAGTATGGCGACTTTCCAGCGGCGGCGGCCGGAGGCCAGCGCCAGCGCGCGAGAACTGCCCAACTTTGTGAAGCGCCTAGAGGAGCAGCTGTTCCGCACGGCTGCCACCCAGGTGGGTGTGCCCCGGCTGTGCGTTCTCCCATCACAGTGCCTGCGCGCACCATCCCCAGTCACACCTGAGCGTCATCCGCTGGTTCAGCTGGGCAGCCGTTCGCTTCTAAGGCATTGCTGCCGCTGCTGCCCGGCCCCTGCCAACGCTGCTTGAATCCATCAGCCAAATCTGGCCGGCTGTGCGCAGGAGGAGTATGGGGACCTGGGGACGCTCGAGTCGCGGCTGCAAACGGTGGCGCGGCGCATGGCGCAGAACCAGCGGGGTCAGGCAGGCGGTGCCGGCGCCGGCGGCAGCGGTGGCGGTGCCGGCGGCAGTGTCGGAGGCATGAACGGGATGGTGCCTTCAGCTGCCACGGGGATGTTCCCTGGTCCGCGGACGCTCAACGGCATGGAGCAGCAGCCGCAGCAGGTGCAGCAGGCGCCTAACATGGGCATGGGTATGAGCATGGGCATGGGCATGCCGCAGCAGCAGTTTGGCATGATGCAGCCCGGGATGATGCCACCGGGAAGTGTGCTGCCGTACAGCAGCGCCCCGGCGCCCGATGGCAGCACCGCTGCATCAGTGCCGATCGACAATGGCGGCTTCAAGATGGACCCAGGCGCTGGCGCGCCGATGGGCGTGCCTCAGGGGTCGCCACGGATCATGAAACAGGAGGGTGTCAACGGCTTGCCCCCGGGGATGGTGCCGATGGGCGCTCTCAACGGCGGCGTCTATGGTCAGCAGCAGCAGCAGCAGCAGCAGCAGCAGCAGCCAGCTAATGGCATGATGCCCACCCCCGGCATGATGCCGACGCCGGGCATGATGCCCGTGCCCGGTGGGGCGCCCGGCATGAGCGGCGTTGGCGGCATGGGCTTGAGCATGGGCATGGGCGCCGGCGTGTCGATGCCCATGGGGGCGCCGCAGCTGATGAGCAACGGCGCGCCGGTGCTACGCAAGGATCAGTGGGGCGGCGGCGGCATGATGCCCGTGAACGGGGTGAGCCGCAGAGGCGCGCCGCTGTCGTTGGAAAAGGGGGTCGCACTGGGGGCCCGCAGCCCCATCGCGGTGGCACGGGCTGCAGGGGCTGAAACGGGTTGTGCGGGCTTTGAGTGTCGACTCCACCACCATTGCATGCTCTGCACACGGCTGACCAGTGTGCGACCCCCCTCTACTACAGGGCGATGCGATGGGCAGCGGCATGATGGGCCCAATGGGCATGCAGCCGGGCCAGTATCTGCAGCCAGGTGAGAAGGCGGCTGAGGATGGGAGGCAGCGAGTATGCGGCTTCTTGGCCCTGGCAGCTGGAGGTTGCAGCAAGCCTTCTTATTGAAGCCCTGCCTGCTGCTCGGCGCGAGCTAGGCGCGAGGTGGGTACGCCTGTTGCCCCTGCCAGCAGGGCGCATGTTGATCGCGGCGGCGTGGTGCCCCCCCGCAGGCATGATGCCAGCGCCTGGCCCCATGGGGCAGGTGCCGACCGGGATGGTGCCTATGGGCAACGGCGGCATGCTCAACGGGGGCATGGCTGTCGGCGGCATGGGCAATGGCGGCATGGTCAACGGCGGCATGGCTGGCAGCGCCATGGGCAATGGTGGCATGGTCAATGGCGGCATGGTCAATGGCGGCATGGTGGGGGCCGGCATGGGCGGCGGCGGCGGCATGGTGCCGGTCAACCAGGGCCCAATGAGCATCCCCAATGGCATGGTGCCGATGAATGGAATGGGTGAGTCGAGGCTGGGGTTGCCTGATGAGCGGGGCTGCGTGGCAGCTTGACGAGGGGCTACCTGCGCCCCAGGGGCACAACAGGGGCGGAGCCTGCGCCGCTGAGGAGCATGGTCGTATCTCTGCCCCTGCCCTTTCCTTGCCATGTGCTTTGCCAGGCGGCATGAGCGGCTCCATCGGCATGGGGCCTGCCGGCGGGTTTGGTGAGAACCGGCCTGTTGCGGCCGGCGGAGGCGGGGGCATGCCGGGCAGCGGCGGCCTTCCGGGCATGACCCCTCCGGGTGGGGCGGACACGTCGCCCGGCCTGCAGCAGTCGCAGGCTAGCGGCCTGCCGCAGGCGGGCCCGGGCCCGGGCGGCCAGCCGAGCGCGGCGCAGCAGCAGCAGATGCAGGGGCGCACCCAGTACATCCAGAAGCAGCAGCGGTGGCTACTGTTCCTGCGCCACTGCGCCAAGTGCACCCAGTCTGAGTCCGAGTGCCAGTTCAGCCGCAGCTGCCGCGTGGGCAAGGAGCTGTGGCAGCACATCCTGCAGTGCACCAACGTGAAGTGCGCCTACCCGCGCTGCGTCAGCTCAAAGGACCTGCTCAAGCACCACCAAAAGTGCCAGGTGGGCGCGTGGCGCGGGGCGCGGCCGCTTGATGGCAGGCGTGAGCGGTATTGGGTGGCCGGTGCCCAGCAATGGGGGGCGCCAGCCGCAGCTGCCGCTGGGGGGGGGGGGCCAGCTCATTTGCAATCGCAATCATGTGCACCAGTCAGCTCTCAACATGATCATCAGCCGACCGGCCGCTGCGTCACCCCGCTTGCCTTGCCTGCCCTGCTACCGCTGTCGCCGCGCGGCCCACAGAACGCGCAGTGCCCGATCTGCACGCCAGTGAAGGAGTATGTGCGGCGCTCGCGCAACCACAGCGGCGGCGGCAGCGGCATGGGCCAGTATGACCCGGCGGCGTCCATGTTCCCGCCCATGGCGTTTGGGCAGGCACCGCCGCAGCAGCAGCAGCAGCAGCAGCAGCAGCAGCAGCAGGCGGCACAGCAGCAGCAACAGGCAGTGGTGGCGCAGCAGCAACTCGCGGCACAACAGCAGCAACAGCAGCAGCAACTCGCTGCGCAGCAGCAGCAGCAACAGCAGCAGATGCTGGCGGCGCAGCAGCAGCAACAGCAGCAAATGCTGGCCGCACAGCAGCAACAGCAGCAGCAACAACAGCAGCAGGTGCAGCAGCGGCAGGCCTACGTGGGGCAGAAGCGGCCGCTCAACGGCACGCAGCAGCCGCAGCAGCAGCAGGGCGCGGTGACGCACCCTACCCACCCCGGGGCACCGGGTGACGAGCAGAAGGTCAAGAGGAGCCGCCAAGACGAGGCGGCGCTGCTGGCCAGGGTGCGGGGCCCTTTAAGCAACCTAGCAGAGCGGGGCACCATGGGCCTTGATGCGCTATTGTCCTTGATGCGGCGGGGCACCATGGGCCGGGCCTGGGCAGCGGGCCGCAGCCCCCCTTCGCGCTGGTGCATGGGGTTGCCCAGACGCCCTGGTGCCGTAGCGCAGGCCTGGGGCGGGCCGGTGAGAGCCCACCCTCCCTTGGTGCGTCCTCCCTGCCCGCGCGTCGCGACCCCTCTCTCATCCCTCTCTCCCTCTCCCCTCAACCCCCCTCCCCCAGAACACGGGCACGTCCCTGCTGGAGACCTTTGACCTGGGGCAGCTGCGCGGCCACGTGGAGCGCGTGCGCGAGGAGGTCGCGCGGCTGGCCACCAAGAGCGGCGGCAGCGGCGGCGCCGCAGCGGCGGCGGCGGCGGCGGCGTACGCGGACCCCAAGGACGTGTGCACGGTCTGCCGGCAATCCAAGTTCACGTTTGAGCCGCCCTGCCTGTACTGCATCCAGTGCGGCCAGCGGATACGGCGGGGCCAGACGTTCCACTCGACGCCGCCGGTGCGCCGCCGGGGCAGGCGCGGCGCCCCGCCTGGCATGCGCGCCGGCCCTTTTTCGAGCCGAACTCCATCCCTGCTCTTCAACCCCCTGCCGCATTCCGTTCTCAGTCCTCCCATCCCACCCTCTCTCCACCCCCCCGTTTGGTTGGCTGCAGCCATCACGCCCCCTCAGCGCACCCTCCCCTCCCTACTCTCACCCCTCACACTTGCGCCCTCGCTGCACCCCTCACCTCCCAACCGACCGTGACCCCCAAACTTCCACCCCTCCCAGGAGTACGAGATCAAGGGCTTCTGGTGCCACGGCTGCTTCAACGAGCACAAGGGGGACAGGGTGCCCTTCGACGGCTCGCAGGTGGGGCCAATCACCCCCATTTTGCTTTCAAGAGGGAACGGGCCAGCGCACGCGCGCCGCGCGCTGCTTGCCGGGCCCAGCGCGCTCCCCTGGGACGGCCAGTTTCGTGAGGGCCGCCACACAGCATACACGACCCGGCGCCCCTCCCCGTTTCGTCGCTGGTGGGCTTGAGACCACCCAGCACCCGCCCCCCCGCCTGCACCCCACGAAACGCGCCCGCGCCTGCCCTCCACCGCCCGCGCAGTCTGGCTTTGTGCGCAAGGCTGAGATCGTGAAGCGCAAGAACGACGAGGAGATTGAGGAGTACTGGGTGCAGTGCGACTGCTGCGAGGGCTGGGTGCACCAGATCTGCGGCCTCTTCAACAAGGGGCGCAACAACGCCAACTCAACATACCTCTGCCCGGACTGCCTGCACAGGGTGCGGGGCGCGGGATGGGGCGGGGGGATGGGGTGGAGTGGGGTGGCGATGGCGGCCGCGGCGTCAGGGCCTGTTTTACGGGGTTGTTGTGCGGGCGGCGGCGGCTGGTGCGGCGAGCCTGGGGCCATGAGCGCGCGCGCGGCCCGGCGACAAATGCAGCGCTGCAGGCCGACGCAGATCGTGATATGGGCTCTTCCGCTTCTCAAGCATGCACACACGCCTGTTGGCGCAGGGTCTGGGCGGTGGCCTGCGCAAGCGCATCGAGACGCGGCCGCAGTCGATGCTGGAGGCCGCCGACCTGCCGCACTGCGCGCTGAGCCGCGCCATCCAGGCGCGCCTCGAGCGCCAGCTGGCGGCGGACCGCGCGCGGCGGGCGGCGCAGGCGGGGGTGGCGGTGGAGGCGGTGCCGGCGGCGGAGGGGCTGACGGTGCGGGTCATCAACAACGTCATGAAGAAATGCGAGGTGAGCGTGGGGGGGGGCGAGTGCTGCGTGGCGAGGGCAGCGCCGGCCTGGGCAGGCGAGGCTCGCGGGTAGAGTGGGGGCCCGGGGGGTGTTGTGGCAAGGTGGGAGGGTACGGCGCCGCCTCGGTAGGGGACGCGTGCGCAGAGGCGGCAGCGCGCAAGGCCCTTCCGGCTTGGCGGCGCGCGTTGCGTGGCTGCACGGCCCGCGCGACCACGTCTGGCCGCCCAGTCACGCCGAAAGCCTCCCTCGACCCGCGGCCCCGCCGCTCCCTTGCCGTTGTGCACCCAACCCCCCACCCCAAACGCTGAGCCCTGGTTTCAAACCTCCCACCCTTAAACCCCGACCAGGTGCGCCCCAAGTTCCTGGAGCTGGCGCGCGCGGAGGGCGCGGCGTACCCCGAGGCGTTCCCCTACCGGCAGCGCGTGATGCTGCTGTACCAGCGCATCGACGGCGTCGACGTCGCCATCTTCTGCATGTATGTCCAGGAGTACGGCCCGGACTGCCCGGGGCCAAACCGGTGAGCGGGGGTTCCCTGTTTTGAGGCTCGAGGGTCTGGGGCGGGGTGCGGGTCGGGGTCTGGGAGGCCCACGCGCGACCGGAGCTCGGAAGCAGCGCGGAGGGGGTGCCTGCGCGCGGCCTGGGTCGGCGGCCGCTGGCGGGCGCGCCCGGGTGCCGCGGGCTGCGGCCTCGGCGGCCGCGGCGGCTCGTTGCACACACGCGCGCGCGCGCCTGTCGCCCGCCCCTCCTCCGCGCTCGTCACGCCAGCCCCGTCACCCGCTTCGCCCCTCGGGACCCGTCCCTCCGC